CATATACCTGGTTGGACCCTTGCTCCATTCAGCCCAGTACTGCCAACACTGACTGGCAGCAGCAGCTTTCTGGGGTTTCAGGCAGGTCCTCCTCCAGCCCTACCTGGAGATGCCAGTGCTTGAAGCGGGGACCCTCTGCACACAGTGCAGGTGAACCACGGTCCACTACTCTGTTGGCCTCATGTCCTGTTTGTTGTGGGCATCCTAGAAGGAACAGCATCTGATCCAGGCAAGGCCTGCTTAGCTCCGGTCAGAACATGCACTGCTCCCAAAATACACCACCGGGCCTGTGACCAGCATCACGGGCTCAAGGCGCCAGCTCTTCTAGATCAGCAGAGATGCCAACCACCCTTAGGCTTTGCTGTTACCCTTAACCTCACAGAAGCTGGGAAGAAACTCATCTTCCCAACTACAATATATTCTCCCCTGTTGTCATGCAAATTGTTTTGGGGTGGCTCGGTCTAGAAAGAGAAACACAGAAACTGAGCGAGTCAGAAGGGGTCTCCCGGGCCATCTAGTCTGACCCCCGGCTCCAGCCAGCTCCACTCATGCCATGCTATGAAGACACCTTTGCTTTACAAATCCCCTAGTCCTGGTGTTGGTAAAACCGCTGGAAATGCATGCAACTGATACTCTTGGTGGTGGGGCCATGGGGACTTCTACTATTCTCCCCTGTGCTTCCAAGCTGACCGCAGCCCGTGTGTTCAGAGAGCCGTTCCTCCCACAGGCTGTGCACGGCAACGCTGCACCATGCGCGCCAGAAAAACCATCGCACTCGACCCAGGAGATGCAGAAGGTGAGCCTCAGATGCACGCTCACACACATCTCTGCAAAGGCAGGCCCTCTCGTGGGCAAAAGGATATTTTAAACTTGTTTGCACACAATCCTCTCTTCGCTTCCTCATCGGGAGAAAATCTCCAAGCGATGCGGAGCCCATCTGCCAGCCTGCGGGCTCCCGGGCGACTCCACACACAGCTGCAGATGGGAAGGGGACGATCTGTCTTCCCCACAAGAGGTTTACCTTCACGTCACAAACACGCGCACTCCGCACATCACCAACAACACTGCGGGGAAGTCACGCTACAGGCCAACGTGGTGGAGGGGAGGGGAAGCCGAGAAGTGGGTCACACTTCGCCCTGGCTTACTGGGATGCCTAATGCTGTAATTAATGCAGCTTGCGCTGGACTGTGGCTCTTAATCAGGTATTTACTATTTGGAATGTTAACCAGGCTCTGCGGGTGAGGAGGCGTCTTACCGTGCAGTTTTGTTTTCTTTTTATATCTATTTCCACGTAGTAGTTCCACATCTGTGTTTTGCTAGAAACATTATTAAGGTTTGCAAGCTGTTCTTAGCGGCTGTGTGTGCCTTTTTGCTCCATGTTTTCCCTCTCCCCCCCTGCCATTTGTCACTCCCTCCTGCTTCTTTCTGCCACAGAATCCTGTTCCAAGGAATGGGCAAGAAGCAGGGAACCTCCCCTTCAACTGTTGTTGGACTACAACTCGCATGGTGGCTAGAGCCGATGGAAGTAGGAAATGGTGGATCCCAGCAATCCTGCTTCTGTTTCTCCCTTTTTTCTAACCCTGCCTTACATTGATACCCATTTCTGCATCATTGCGCCAGGTTTTTTTAAGCCCCACAAACATTGTACGTCTCTTCATGACATCTTTGCTAATATGCCTATGTAATGAATGCAATGTTTCATTAATAAGTGCATATTTCAAGCAATTTCCCTAAATATAGTGTGTGTACACATGACTGTCATTCTAATCTGCACCTTTTTTGCTTATGTTCACCAAGTCAAACAGAAAACCACCAAGTGGAAAAGGGTAACAGAATGGAGCAACCCCAAAAAGGACAGGACTGGCTGACCAGAACCTCAAACAGGAACTTTCCATGCATCAATGTTTGTTTGTTTGATTGATTGATTATATCCTGCTTTTTCCTTTCTTTTTATTAGGTACTCAAAGTGGCTTGCATCATTCTCCTCTTTCTGCTCTCAATCCTAACCCAACACGAACCCTGCAAGGTAGGTTGGGCTGAGAGTCCGTGACTGGCCCAAAGTCACTCAGCTGGTTCCATGACTGAGCGGGGACTCGAACCCAGGTCGCCGGCGTCTCAGTTCCACACTTTATCCACTACACCAAACTGACTCTCAAAATTTTGTTGCAGGTCCAATTTCTTAAGAACATAAAGAACAGCCATGCTGGGTCAGATCAAAGGCCCATCCAGTCCAGTATTTTGTACACACGGTGGCAGAGCAGTTACCCAATGGATCCTTCCAGCAGGATGGACACAAGACCTCCACCTTCCCAAGCTCCACAGCAACTGGTATATGCGGCCATGCCGCCGCTGCTGAAGGAGGCAGCACCGAGCCAGTCTGTGCCGTTGCTGTTTTTCAGTTTCGGAGCAGCAGGAGATAACTTTCAACTTTTTCCCACAGACGAGTTCAAAAGCAACATGCAATTCACATTGCAGAACTGAAGGCGCATTGCCAAGCCAGCATCCCATGAATTGCCATAAAAATCATAAAACTAGAACAAGCCCTTATCCGGGTTACAGGACTAATCTTGCCATCAGAATTCTGTGAATCACAATTTCTGCTTATCAGTGAGGCATAAAGGGTGGGCCTTTGTAGGGAGTGATGGTGCAATAAATTACATTTGCATGAAGGCCAACCAGTTGAGCCCGCACAATAAAAAAACCTTCAGTCCAAAAAGCCAGTGGCTGCAGCATGCCACTGAATTAAAGTACTTTAAACACCAGTAAGCATTTCATACTAGGTTTCAAAACCTTTTAAATGTGGCTTTCAGTCGCTTCCCAAAGAGGCTTAGAATAATGTTTTACATAATATGTTTTCATATTAATGCACTGCAAGTATTTATTACAAAGGTTTGAATGCAATGCCACATCCTGAGGTGCAATGCATTGTGAGCCAAAGTCAATTTGCAGCATGATCCTATACAAATGTGTTTCCTCAGAAGTGTGGTCAGTTGAGTTCAGTGGTGCTTACTCCCAAGCAAGCATGCATAAGGATCACAGTCCAAAATTATAATCCTATACACATTGACCTGGGAATAATGTGAAGCGAGCCTCACTCCTGAACAGGTACGCATAGAATCATGATGCAGATCAGAAATCCTGTACAACTGACAACACTTTCTAAGAACCTGCATGAGTCTTACTGCAGGGATCGCTCAGGAAACCCTCCAGAAGCACCAAACTCTGAGCAATTATGTTCACATGAATGCAGGCGAAGGTCTTTGCGCACCGCTGCCTACAAGGGCAAGCAGGGGGGATCTTCCTCAGCTTCTGCCACACTGTACACAAGGCACCATCTTCAGCACACTGTATCCGAGCATCGCTTGCGCTGCAAAGGGCAAGAGCAGCTACTGCACGACATCGGTGAGGACGTGGCCCGATGGGTCGTGCAGAGTATCCCTGCTCTAGATCTCCTCAAATCCAGCCAAGGTCAACCAGGGCCAAAAATCACTTTTAAGAAGCAGCTCTGCATACATCTCTTGGGCAAAGATCCTTCACTATGTAGCAAGAAGGGAACCCTGAAGAAAAGAAGCCATCCGTTCTCTTTAACAGAAGCGAGTCCTTTATTTGAAAGGCTGTCCAGCTGAAACCCAGGCTGAAGATGAACCACCGTAGAAACTGTTGCTTATCAACAAACTGGCAGACACACCAGGCACCTGGCCACCGTCCTTTACACTGCGATGAGGTACTCTATATTTCTATTAAAATTATACTAAACATTTCTAAATTTGCTTCTATAAATATGAATTAGCATTTGGAAATGTTTCAGAAATCGCTGTCCTCTTTTGTCTTATTGCTTGGTAATAGATTTCCTCATTTTTGATGCTTTTCAAGAGGCCAGTCTAGTTATGGTTTTGTTGTGATGCTGGCAAGGCAGAGCGTGATTTATTTAAAAGTAATTTGATGCCGTCCTTGGCTGTCCCTGATTAAGGTTTACTTCCAGGTTTTGTTTCAAGGAAATCAAAACCTCATGAAAGAGCTATTAACTTCCCCACAGTGTTTTCAAGATGTGTGGCCATAATTTGTGGGGAGGGGAGGAGAGGGGAGGGGAGGGGAGAGTTTACCTCTTGCAAATCTGAGGTGGCAAGCTGAATTAGGTAGATTTACTTCTAGGGCATTCCAGTTGCTATTTGGGGCTCCCTGCAAGTGATGCTTCAGGTAACGAGTGGGAGCATGAATGATCTCGGTTGTCTTACAGCTCCAGGTGACTGTATCAGTGCTCTGGTGACCACTTACCACCAAAAAAGAAAATGAAATGCAACACCCTCACAAAACAAGAAGGCAAAAGAACGACATATACACTGGCATAGGCTAACTGATCCATCAAGGCGCAGATCTGAGAAAACCACAAAGCATATCAATAGCAATCCGACCCATCACACCAAAGTGGGGAAGGCCATGGCCAGGTGGGGCAAGTGAAGTTGCTTCTGTGAGGGAAACAGCTTCATTCTCCCAGCAAAGGCAGTTCTGAATGAATCCTTATCTACAGAATGATTGTGGAAGGCAGCTCAGAGGGATGGTGGAAGGCCAGTGTGGTGTTGGAGACCTGGGAGAGCTCGGTTCTTCTCCCCACTCAGCCATGAAGCTCAGTGGGTGACTTTGGGCTGGGCACAGAGCCTAACCTACTTCAGAGGCTTGCTCATGAGGTGGTTGTTGTGAAGATCAAAGGGAACAGAGGACCATGCAAGCTGCCTTGAGTTCCCCGGAAGTTGAAAAAAGATAGGCTATAAATGTCATGTAATAAAATTATGTCTGATGCTCTTCCCAATAAGGGCTTGCCATGGCTTCAAGAACTGGCTTTGGGATGCTGGAAAAGTTCATTATACTGTTGAACCTTTGCAACCTCCTTGCTATTCTTCCAGTACAACCCAAGCAACGCACAAGGGTGTGAGGTGTGCGGATGAAACCACAATGCAATGTAATAATAACAGGATTCAGCGGCAAGTATTTTCCACCCTTACCGTGTATTTTTCAAGCCTTCTGCATACACAGTTGCCAAATTCATCAGTCTTCACACTCTTGGAAAATTAGGCTTTGGCTAGGATGCTCATGACAGAAGAAACCACATCCTCTACAAGAGCAAGAAAGAAAAAAGAAATGCCATGTTGATCTTAAGAGGCCCAGTAGCGGAGTGGCTATTTCTGGGTGCCTATTTCAATGGGTCTGTTCACACATTATGATAACCCAACTTGCCTTTGACTTGGTGTGCCAGGCAAGGAGAGATATTTAAGGATTAGAGAAGCCATGAGTTATTTACAGATGAGTTATACAAAACCTCGTCCTCTGTCTCCATTTCCCTCTCCTTCCTTTGTGGCCTCGCCGGTGTCAAATCTGGGGCTGTAACCCGCTGGGATGAGGGGCCAGTTCCTTTGGACTCTAAAATGTGCCAAACACACTGGCCACCCAGTTTAAACAAAAATTGTTGCTCCTGCCTGAAGTACTCCCCTCTGTTGAAATTCAATTTGCTTTTGAACCAGAGATGCAGGGGCTGTCTTTATCCAGTTTTCTTTCTTATACCTTCTAAATCCAGCTTTGCACTGAGCCATTTTAAGAGTCTGAAGACATTCCAGGGACAGAGGTCCACACTCCAGCGGTCACTAAAGAATTGCCAAAAAGGAGAAGAACGCATCTCCAAAAAGAGTGGGGATTTGCACAATATTTGCATATGCCGCTTTGTGTGTCGCAATGCTAATGCTCCTGAACTCTGTGACCACATCTGCAACACTGGGCCCTCCCTTCCACCATCTACCATTTTTATGCAGACAATATAAACTCCTTTGCTGCCAAAGCTTTATTTTTGTTGTCGGTTTCTGCTGCCTATTCCTTGTGTTGCTGTCATTCGAATGTTGTTTGAAATTGCTGCTTAGATTGGGTTTTATGCAATGCTATTAAGGTCTTATTTTTAATACAGATGTTATTGCTAGCCACCTTAAGTGCAATTTTTGGCCAAAAAGCAGGATGGGGAGGGAGGGGGGAGGGGGGTCTGAATCCTCTGTGTTTCACTCTCCACCTCACTGGCAGGGCAAAAGGGGGGGGGGCAATCTCAGCTCCATCTCACAAAGCTTCTGAGACTGCCTTTTTGTGGGCAGGGAGGGGACAAAAGGGGCCACAAGCTGGGTGTATCCTGGGCACTCCTTAACTTTCCATTTTGCTTTATTCCCTGAGATATTTTACAGGGCTGCAGTTGTGACCTCCTAAGAGAAGCTTTCTGGGAGAGGGGAAAGGATGGGAAGATCCATGATCAGATCCCACCCCCCATGTCTATGGGCACAAAGGGGGAGAACTGCAGCACCCTATGGCATCTCTGGCACCACAGGACTGCTCCCTCAATAATAAAAACCAGCATCATCTCAATCGAACAACCACATGGAAAATGTGGCTGTCCAGGTACTCACTCTGGATGGGCAACTGTTCTTATGGTTCCTTATCTTTAAGCAGGAACTGGACAGGCCAGCCTTTCAAGCAGAGGATGTCTTCAAACAGAGGACTGTCTTCCGTAAAAGAGGAACCTGGGCCACCCAAGCACATACGAATCCCCAGGCACACAGCTCTGGAGCTTTCCCTGGACTATCAAGGGCTCTCTCATAAAGATCAAAGGGCTAGAGACTGAAACAAGCCTGAACGAGGATACACCTCTCATTAGGGCAGGAAACAACTGGGCAAAGAGAATCTTGCCAAGCTGTAAAGAGCTGCAGAGAATCTCTGGCAAAGCATAAAAATAGTTGTTTGGGGAAAGGATTAGGCTGACGGCCGCACACAAACACACAGAGAGCAGCTGAGAGCTTTGCTACTTCTCCTGTGGCAGTCCAGAAAGCAAAGTTGGAACACAGTCCCGGAAGTTTACTCAACTCTGAACAGTGGGCCATGGTGAGCGTGGCTTTCCAAGCCCCACAGCCAGTTTTTCAAGTTCCAGATTATGTAAAACACCCCAAATCTATTGTGAACAAGGAAACTGCTGCCTCTTTTCACCCTTGGCCAGTTGGCAGAGGCCAAGCGAAGGCTTTCTGCCAACCATGGGAGAAAGTAATTTGAGTGCAGGGAGTTGCATCACCAAGCTGGCCTGTGATGCAAGGAGGCAGGGAGCAAAGTAACAGCAGCACAGGGCCACCACAACCTGCAACCTTTGCTTTTCTTCCTCTACCTGGCTGTTGCAAAGGCAGTTCTACAGCACTGCAGTTTAAAAGGCACGGATTTCATTCTGAGATGCTAGCACTGCTCAACAGTTTGGGCAGCGATGCCTCTGCAAATTGAAAAAGCAGAGGCAGGTAAAAGAGAGCAGGGCCACACCCTGAACGTGACACAAGGGCAGACTTTTCCTGCCTGGTACCTTCCAAGATGGGTTGGACTGCAGCTCTCATCTTCCTCAGCCACCAGGCCAGCTGGGGTGGTGAAAGCAGAGTCCAACACTGACTGACAGCGGTTCTTACGCGCAATGCGTAATGAGCACGCTCAAAGCTGGACACACCTCAGTCATAATCTGACTCAGAGTCATGGGTGGAAGGGAGCCACAGATCCCTGTGGACCATCCTGGGTGACCACGACCAGTCCTCAAATGAAACTAAACATTTCTGATCTTGTGAAACAGGTGGAAAGGGTTGTTCCTGTAGTAATAAATTTCAGTTTTGGCCTTACTACTGAACCAAGCCTATATGTTCTTCTTTATTTCATGCATGTTTCATAAAACTTAAATGACATGCCGTTTGATACAGAGCATGCTTACCCTTTACCAGCAAGATGTACAGATTTCCTTGGAGTTGTTCCCAAGTATGTACAGAGTTTCAATCTCAGCCATACCTCCCCTCCACTTTGCTTTATTTATTTATTTAAAATATTTATATGCCGTCCTATTCGCAAAAAAGCCTCAGGACGGCTCACAATGCAAAACATAACATAAACAACATAAATAACATAAATAAAATTCCCGACCCACACTGGCTGCAATTAAAAACATAGAAAAGACAATATTAAAACTTATTAAAATACCGCTGGATTAAAAAGGTCTTAACCTGGCGCCGAAAAACAAATGACAGTGCCAGGCAGACCTCTCTGGGGAGCGCATTCCACAGATGGGGCGCCACCGCAGAGAAAGCCCTCCTCCGGGTACTTTGCCTCCTGATGTCTCTCCCGGAGGGCTCCCGGAGGAGGGCCTCTGCTGCCGATCTCAAGGGGCGGGAGGGCAAATATGGAAGCAGGCGTTCCTTCAGGTATCCAGGTCCCAAGCTTTGCATGTCAGCCCTGCGAATCAGTGTCAGGTTTCCCCATTCGAACAAGTGCTGAGAAATTTGTCAAACCGGTGGCCAAGCCTTGCCGATTTGAACAGAGCCAGCCACAACCCACCCCAGTTATAAATGTTTATGTTCAAGCCATGAACTATCCTACTGGCATGTGAGTGGGTGCATTCTGCATAGGGGTGGAAAAAGCCGGGCTCCCCCAGACTGGGAATCACTTGTCCACCCACTGCTAGCCTCAAGTCACTGAAACTGCCTTGAGCTGTAAAGAAAAAGACACTCAGGGACAAATGCTCCCAGAATGAGATGGGTGAGTTCTCCCCTTCTGCTGCACCTAAGAAAATGATGGTCTGTACTCATCCAATATTAGAGAAAATGTTGGGAGCATGTCTCAGCCCATGAGCTTCACTGCTGAGCAAGGATGCGAACCAGATTAGGGGGCAATTCTTCTACAGAATTACACAATGTTGGTGTTAACAACAAGAAACTGAGACCGGGAAAGATTTTACATACCTTGGCTTTATCATCAAATCAAACTGGGACTGCAGTTTAGCAGACTGAGGAAGGGCAGCAGTGACGGAACTAGGAGCGCACAGATGTTTGGCTTGTGAGCATGGCTAAGATCATCCACATTCGTGATCACTGTGCATGGGTGTGAAGGCAGTGAAGAAACCTTGCATGGTGCTGGAGGAAAGCTTTGAGAATGCCCTGGACGGACAGAAAAATGAATGAGAGGGTCCTGCGTGGAGGAGATCAGGCTGGGACTTTCCCTGGAAACAAAAATGGCTAAAGGTGTCGCACTTTGGGCACATCAAGGGAAGGGAAGGCTCACTGGAGAAGGCAATACTGCTGCTGAAGTTTGAGGGAGGAGGAGGAGAGGAAGACCAGGTATGGTTCCATCAAGGAAGCACAGCCTAGATTTTGCAAGAATTGAGCGGGGCTGTGAAGGAGAGAACACTCTGGAGGGTGCTCTGCACCGGGCTGCCGGAAGTTGGCGGTGAATTGATGGCACCTAACAAGGGGCCACAATGGAGGTGTTCCTTCAAAATAAATGCAGCCTGCTGAAGCAGTGTATGAATAATGTATAGTTTGGTGTTCAGTAGTGGCTGGTGCAGCTTATAGGACTTTCTTGTGAAAAGAGACACCTGCTTTTTGCCAATTTCTCTAGTGAGCGGCTGCAACTTGAATCTCTCTGTCACTAAGATGCCACTTAAATGACCACCCTGACATCACGCAGCGTAAGGACAAGCTCTGGCACTGTGTGGCCAAAACAAGCAACTGGGCAACGAGGAGGAAGTCTCAGCGTGCAGCGTGGACGCGGGCATGGAGGGGATCCAAGCTTGCAGAAACAGAAAAATATTTTGGGAAAAACCCCAAGGTTATAACAGCACGTTAGCTGCAATTATATTCAGTTATTTCAGTAGTGGAAGCATGTCATGCGCTTTCCATCTGCTGAAGTGCCCTCTTCTAAGCAACAATTAAAAGCACAGGGCCGTGGTCTCGTTTGCTTCTGACCAGCCTACAAGGAGAACTCCACTGCAACAACTTCTAATAATTCTAAATGGTGTAATTCCCTCTGCAGGAATCAACCACCGCACAATGCTGGTGAAGTTATACCTTTCTCTGCCTCCGTTGATCAGGACCGCGTTAAGAAAAGCCGACTCGCTGCCCCCCCTCGCAGGCCGAGGGCCCTGGCAGCCAGCCGCACTGCATTTTCTGGACGGCTCCTGGCCTCCCAAGCGGCTCGTGGCAGGATGCCGCACTGGCGATGCCAAAGGCTTACATGAGGAAGCATTTCCCAGGCTGAACCAGGGCTTCGGGAAGAGCAGCCCCTTCCTGCTGAAAGATGCTTAGGCCTTTGAATGCACCTCCCTTTGGCTTTCCCCTGGCCCACCCCTGGGATGAGGGCCAGGAGACCTCCTCCAAAATGGAATTTGGCCCTTGAGCTGAGAACGGTTGGACACACCCTCTTTAAACCCACCATTCCAATATTTAAATTAAAGCTAAACCACGCAGGAGTCATGTGCAAAGTAATCCCACAGAACACGGCTCTGAGGATTTCCTACTCCAAGCAGTTGGGCTAATAATTGTTGCTGGAGCATCTTTTGCATGTTAAAGGGAAAGCCATATAAAGGAGGGCGAACAGATGGGGTTTTTGAAACTAGCCAGTTAGACTGATCCAGACAAGGTCTGAGCAGGATACATAGGTCACCAGGTCATAGACTTCCCTGCTATAGCGAGCTGGACTATATAATTACCTCTAAATTTGCATCTATACATATGTATTAGCATTTGTAAATCTCTCCTTTGTCCTGTTTTGCATGGGATACTGTTCAATGCCCTACACATGTGGGGGAATCTCTAAGTCTGCACTAAGAAGCTGTTGCTTTTCATATCTCCTTGTATCCAGTAGAAGAAGGGGGAGGAGATGGAGGAACCGCAGGTTGCTGGAAATCGCCTTCCAAATCTTTGAAAGCAACCAAAGGATCACAGACTGCCAGCACAGCAAAAACGGAGGATAACCTTCTGCAGAAATGAGCAGTCTGATTTCAAAACAGCTGGAGGAGACCAGATTGGTAATGCCTGGCCCAGCGCTAGAAGCTTGCAATTTTGGCTACTGGTGTCAGTGAAAGGTTCTCCATCCATTATTGTAAGCCGCCCCGAGGCTTCGGCGAATGGGGCGGCATAAAAATGTTTTAATAAATAAATAAAATAAAGATAAGTTGGACTACAGATCCCATCATCTCTAGATGCCTTGGGTGCTGACCACAATGGCTGGGGGTTATAGGCACTATAGCTGAATCTATATGAAACCCATCCTGTGGAAAACAGAATTAGATTCCTGGTCGCCAGCTGCAGAGACTGGGCCTGACAGGAGCCCCAATTCCCCATCTTCTTTGTGTTTAAGGTAGGGAGGGGCTCTTGTCCTAAGAGAGAAGAATAAAGCAGAGAAAAGCAGAGACGAGGGAAGCAGGAATGCATATATTTGTGGAGGTCTCATGCTAAGATTAAAAGACAGGTCCCAAAAAGGGAAGACTAAATCAAGGTGGCATGCAAACTCTCCTTCTACAATATGCACCCAAGCCTTCAGAGAATGCCAACACGGATGAGCAGGCTGGGAGGGATGCAGCACGCACCATCCAGGTGTGCTCCATGGGCGTTTAGCAATAGCCATTGTCAACTACGGGGTCCATTTCGGAATGTCACTGGGAGGGGCATGGGCGGAGTGGTTCTCCAAGCTCTTGAAAGCGGCATCTAGCACTGAGCCCCAAAGGCCTGTGGACTGGGCCTGTGGTGTAGTGGTGAAGAGCCTGGGACTGGAACTCAGACGATCTGGGTTCTAGTCCCCGCTCGGCCATGGAGCCAACTGGGTGACTTTGGGCCAGTCACAGACTCTCAGCCCAACCTACCTCACAGGGTTGTTGTGGGGATAAGATGGAGGAGGAGAATGATATAAGCTGCCTTGAGTCCTTTGAGGAAAAAGGCAGGATATAAATCGAAAAATAAATAAAAAAAATGTTCCAGAGGCCAGCTTTGCCATTAAATGCCCAGGCCCATGTCTCCATCTGCCCTGGCTGACTTCCTTCCTGGAGCAGCAGGGGCCCATCTACAAGGGTGGCCTTGTGTCCCCTTTGCAGGGGACAGTTCTCAGTTTGAAGGGTTCTGCAAATCTGGTTTAAAGATAAAGAACCTGAAAGAACTGCTGCCTCTGTGCAGTTGACACCTGAGCAGCAAATGTAACAAGACAACATATGGGTCACCTGGTCACTGCCTTCTGCATGGGGTGAGCTATACTAATTATTAGATTTATTAGATTTATATCCCACTTTGCTCCTCTGACACACTCAAAGCATTGTCCATTATTCTCCTGCTGCTGCTCTCAATCTTATCCCCACAACAACCCTGTGAGGTAGGTTGGCCTGAGAGTCTGTGACTGGCCCAGAGTCACACAGTCGCCATGACTGGGTGGGGACTAGAACCCAAATCGCCTTAGTCCCAGTCCCACGCTCTTAATCGCTATACCGCAGCAGCTCTCCCATTTCTATTTAAATTATAATAGTTCATACATTTGCCTCTAGACATATACATCAGAGTATGCCAATCTTATGCCAGGGTGCCCGCTCCTTTTTGGATGATGCTTTTCCTCTTTTTTGGCTACTCCTAAGTAGCCCCTCCGCCCTTTTCCCACCGATTGCAGGTTCTTTGGATGGGGACCCTCCCCCACAACCAATCCCCTTCAAAGTAGCTTCCTCCTTTCCCCAGCCCCCTTTCCTGCACACACCTCTGCCCCAACCCTAGAAGCGGGACGAGACTTAACCAGCCCTAAAGGCAGGAAAACTTTCGGGGCGTCTCTCCTGGAGGAGGGGCTGCTCTGCCCCTGCCAGCGCTGCAGAGTCTGGAGCTGCCGGGCGACGTGGGCAGCCTGGTGCTGCTGGCATGCCAACAGCAGAGTGGACGTTCTCCAAGGCGAGAGACAAATTCCGCAGTGCTGCCCTAGCAGAGCTTTCTCACTATGCCGGGAATCTGCTGATCTTTCACTCGGAGGCCCAGGAAAATCCTGCCCGGGCATCCAAGCGCCTGCCCTCGATTGCAGCGAGCTGCGGTGTCGCAAGGCCCCTTTTCCTAATGCAAAGCAGCCACCCTTTAAAACAAGATCGACGCTCAGGAAAGTACAAGAGCTGCTAGATCAGGGGCTGAGCGCAAGGCAGGCAGGCGCAGATCGCCAATGTACACGAAACAGGGGGTGCCAGCTCCCGGCCCGTGAAAGTTGGGGCAAGGCAAGGAGGAAGTCGTCTTAGCCCGGCGAGCACGCACGGAGGCGAAGGCAGGAGGCAGGGGAAGTTAAGAAGCCGGTCTGAGCAGTCACGGTTGAGACAAGGAAGTTTCCTGCAGCCAGTGCTCGGCCTCTCTGCTGAGTAATGGCAAACGAGGAAACGTCACCGCACAACCGAGCCCCAGAGATGCAAAGTCATTCGCAACAGCAGGGAAATCTCAGAGGGTTACCGGGGCTCCGGAGAAGAAAACAAGTGCGCACGTGTGTGTTTGTGCCGCGGGGTGGGTGGCATCTTCCCCCCGACCCCCGTGAGAGGTTTAACTACCCAAATTATGCTTCTCTTAAAAAGAATAGCAAACCAGAAGGAAAGTAGAGGGGGAGGGAAAAAACCGTGGTATTAGGGAATCCACCACTTTAAGGCGCAAGCTTCATCTCCAAAGTGCTCGATTCATCTGCTGGCTCTCCGGTCCCACTCCCCCCCACCACCCCCAACCCAAATTATCCTATTTTGCAAGTTGATCTGGCGGGTGGGGGGAGAAATAACCTGCCCCCTTCCTCTTTCAGATGCGGCAGCTTGGAAGCTGCGTCTCGGACCCTTCCTCTCGCCGGATCTCCCACGACCTGAGCACTCTTAGACTGGCCGCCAGTATCTTCCTCTTCCTCCTCCTCCTCCTCCAAGCGGGAGAGGGCTCCGTGCAGGTCCGTCTCATAACTCCAGCATCCCCCCACAAGCTTGTCCATCCTCTTCCCCTTCCTCATTTTGGCCTTACCTGAGCCGCGCAAGGAAGGCCGGCGTCCTGAGCAAGTTAAGGCGTCCTCGCCCTTTAAGAAGCGCCTTCTCGCTCTCACACCCCTTCCAGCGGCTCCGGAGCCCTTTCCACCTGCACCCAGGAGACCTGCCTCTCCTGACGTCACTCCGGCAATCCGGCCCCGCCCCCATCCACCATACGCAGCGGTCACTGGCTGGCTGCCCCGCCTATCATTTCCCCAAGGGACCGAGTTCCCCAGAGTTAGCAGCCGCTGCCGTTGAAGTAGATGCAGGTGCGCGTCCCCGAGGGAAAGCGGGGCGCAGCAGCTGCTGCGTCTCTTTAAAAGGCGAGGGTGCACTGGAGTCGGAGCAGGCAAGAAGCCAGGCTTTCTTTTTTTGCACCTTTCCGAACGCTCCCTCCTGCAACGCCCGCAAGGGCACAATCCTGCATCCTGATTGCCCAGGAGGGGTCATGACCCAGCACAAGATACGTGCTTGGGTCCTGCTGTGGGGTCACGACCCCCGCCCCCCGCAAAGCCTTCAAGAATTCTGCCCCAGGGAATTTCATCATTCACTGAAACTCAGTCCCAAAGTTTCTCACGTGCACGTTTACCTGCCCTGCTGGAATGTAAGAAAAACCAGAAAGTGGCATCATGTCACATTTTTCAGAGCAATCCTCTCTCTCTTTAATACGAGGCGCAATAGACCTGATATTCAGATCTTCACTGCCCCTTTATTCCCCATGCAGGGTCCCGATCCGGATCATTCCATCCATGAAGCATGGCCCTGCGTTTACAAGGGCGTAGGTTTTGTCAAGGACATGCTATTTTGGAGGACACTCGTTCGTAGGGTTGCCATAAGTTGAAGACGACTTGGCAGCACGTGCCTGTATTGGCCTCTGTCACAAAGAACACAAATCTCTTTTTGTGTGAGTTCACAACACAAGCAGCATTTATTTTTACGATGCAGTCCTGGCCATGTCTGGACAGAACTCAGTAGAACTTACCTAAGTCTGTGACACTGCCTGTACTAAGTCAGGGGAAATGTCACTAGACACAGGAAGTACTGCAGTGTAAACACGCCTCAGACCAAGCTGCACAATGCTATTTGTTTAAGCCAAATCGATCTCTCTGGTTTGGGAGAACATTCAACTTAATTGGGTGAACAGTGGTTTTACTTTAAGACTCAACCCTGGCCCATATCTGCCTGCCTGGACTTTACTGTCTTCATCCCAAGCATTTTTTTTCCTTATCCACACTGAGGGCATAGTTTATGCAAGTTTAAATAATAAAGGGGGCCTGGCTGGGTCATTCTAAGAGTTGTGGGCCTTTTTTCTGTCTATCCTTACACCCTGAGAATACTATTCACAGGTAGCAGAGACAGGGCCTTTTTATTGGTGGTCCCACCCTTGCAGAGCCTCCTGTCCAGTAAAATCAGGCAGGTTCCCTCTTTCCCCTTTCACAGGGACAATAAAGGATTATTATGATTCAAGCAGGCTTCGGGTGTTTCGTTTTCTCTTGTTTCTGTTCTGTATCATCTCTATTGCTTTTTCTTTGCCATTCAATTGTATGGTTGCCTTTCTCCTCCTTGTTTAGCTCTTTTGCCTGTATTTTACATACAAGAAAACAGATCTAAAAGCTGATGCTTTTAATTTTAAAAAAGTTACAATTGCCCTTTTAAATGTTTTTTTAAAAAAGCAGCAGAATACCAGTGTTGGTTGGAATACCAGTACTTAAAAAGGAATTTGGTATACCTCAAAAGTTTACTTCCAGCAGCGGGTGGATCAATTGGACCAAGGTCTTGCATCATGCACTGAGGTTCTTGCTCTCTAGAAAAACGAGCCCAGTGAAGCAGCAGGTCGTGAAATCCGTTATCGTTGCAAATGTTTCCCTGAGGGAAAGTGCTGGGAGCTCCAGGTACAATAAAACGAGAATAGCAAGAACACCAGGTTCATTCGTCCAGCACAATTCTTGCAGAGTTCCGGGATTTCAAAGTGGGATTTGTGGAGCCCTACCCGGGCATGGACTCTAAGAATTTCTGCATGCACACCAGGTCTTCTACTTCTGAGCTGAAGTCTCTCCCCAAGCAGGTGAAAGCAGAGGTTTGGGAGGATCGATGCAAAGGGCCAAGGAACCACGCAAGGAGGGCATTCCGAGCCCTTCTCCAGACATGCTACTGAGCCATTGACCCTCTCAGTGCAAACAGCCACCACTGGCATGGCAGCTTGCGCCACATGACGTGTCAGGAGATGCCAACCATGGGATGTTGGATACACCAGTTAAAAACCACATAGTTGTGCCCTGTTCTTCCCTGATTGTGCTCCCCAGCTGCTTGATTTTCAGTTCTCTGATTTTAAATGCTTTCGTGGCTTTGGTTTGCATTCTGTCTTTGCATGCTTTAGGATTCGGTCCTATGCCTGCTTAGAAAGAAAACGGGCCAATGACCCCCAGTATGCCCCAGCCTGCTGCAGAACCACCAAGAGCCCGAACAAGCATGGCAAGATTGGTGATAGAATCCATTACGGTTTAAACAGTGTGTCCAGGTGGCTGGGCATGCTAGGAACTGGCAGCCTTTATCCTGTCTAAGCATGCACAGGATTGCAACTCTAACTTTTGCAGTTTAAATGTGTATGTAGCAAACTGCTTTGAGCAGTCCCCCTTAGAGACAGTCAAGCAGTCTGTGAGGATGAATAAAATTTACCTTCAGTCTCTAGGGCAAAGGCACACCGGTCTCCATCCCATTTTTGTCCTTTACGCAAACCCAGGCACATGCCTGTTGTTCACAGTGTGGTGCTTGTGCAAGCAAAGTCGGCCCTGTTGTGCTTACCCGGGCAGCCTCTGGGCTTATCGGCTCGGCGCATGCATTCGCCAGCTCGCTGAGTCACTGCTCTGCATCCAAGGGCTCTGCTGACACGGCACAGGAAAGGCTTATTCAAAAAACACACTCAGCTCAGACAAACAGAATAGCAGTCATGTGTGCATGTGAGTCAAGGATCCAGTGCTTGCGTGCCCTGCCTGGCCAGGGGTCAGCGGTAAGATGCCCGCCAGCCGGAGCTGAACCATCATCCACTCGAGGGCCAGTGGGCTGCAATGCCATTTTTTCTGCAGGCGTTCCAGAAGCAAGCCATGCGCCAAGTGGCTTTGCACAGTGGTGCAGCTAGAGGGATTTACATATTGCTACATCGCCCCACAGCCAAAGCGCTCTCTTAGGCTCAGGATTTAATGGTCTGGAGGCAACTGCATATACCACGTCCCTTCTTTCCCACGCTACCACTGTTCCATGCTTTGCAACCATCTTCAAACCTCACAGCAACAAAACAAAAAGCTGCTTGCCAACTATGTTTTTAACACACAAGGTTAGCACACAGATGTCCAAGTATTGTACACAATGCTCCGCCCATGTGTAATTATGCATGTCAAGTACACTGGAATCATAGGACCAGTACAACTATGAGAATAGAGCAGAGTTGGTTTCTGCTGCTCTGAAGCTAGACAAACAAATGGTCTTTGCGAAGGAAAGGGGTGATCTATTGTTGAAGCCAAAACAAGGACACAAGCACCTGCAGCCCTGAACATGCCCCAGCTGGTGCCTCCTGGGGTGTTTTTCTGAGGTTACTCATGGACTTGGCGCATCAGGCCTGATGCTACACATCTCTTAGGTGGTTGTAAGACAGATGAATTGTGGGAAATTCTGGAAATTCAGGAACTCTTGGGTTCACAGAACCAGGAGAATGCACGCTTGGACCGCAGCAGTTTATTGGCTGGCTACCCGGGAACCCCTCTGACAGAGACAAATCTAACAGTGCTGCTGGGTAGCCAGTATACCAAACTGGCAGCGAGCTTCCAGAGCACAGACAGTTTTTTATACGTTGTGGATCACATACACAGTTTCAGGGCAATGATGAGTTTCTGAATGGGTGAGAAGGCAAGGAGAAGGCAATGGGGAGTAATATAGAAACATTGAGAAATCGTTATAGGCATCAGGAAAAGCATCATGACCCATCGAAGGCTCGAGTAGCAGATAACAACTAAAACAATCAGGCTTACAGAAATCTAACAGGTTTAAAATGTTGTGATTTTTGCAATCGGAGATACAGAATTCCTTAAGAGAAGCATGAGATGCCTTAAGACAAAGCATGAGCTGGCTAAGTATGTTTACATTGCAAGGGAAGTACAGCTGCTGTTTTGGAGCTGCCCCCCCCCCCCCCCGTGTCCCCCCAAGAAGGAACTAGGGAGGAGTAAGGAAAAGCCATGCAGATGGGGAGGGGGAGTGAGGGCAATGCTGCCAGATTCAAGGACAGGCAAAAGCATCGATTTTTGAGGATTTATTTGGATTTTCCCAACAACTGGCAGCAGGAGTAGAAGTCAAACCCAGGAAAAAGGGGCAGGCTTCCAGCTGATGAAACTGTGGCCACCACTGTCAATCTGCCATAATCCAGACTAATTTGATGTCCCATGAGTTCAAAACAAGAACTAGAGATCTGTGCCATGCCAATAAGTCAAGCACAAATTCTCATCAACGCATCAACTTACCATTCTTATGTGACGCACATATATGTTGCATATTATCAAGGAATATAGTACTTAATGCCTTGGAAGACAGGCTGGAACAATCTTCCCTAACTTTAAGCCCTTCAGACATTTTGGACTACGACTTCCAGTGTTCCTGACTGTCAGCTATGCTGGCTAGAGCTGATGGGTATTGATGTCCAGACTGCTGGAGACCACCAGATTGAAGAAAGTCAGGCTAAAAAGACATTACAGATGAAGTACACTCATGCAATTTAGTTTTCTAAGTGTTTCTATGGTTTGCTGCTTACCTAACACATGCAAAAGGTTAAATACAGAATTATATGCGTGCAAGCCTTCAATTCCCAGCATGCCCCACAGCGTGCTGGGATTGGTACCCCTTAAGGTACATAGGATTGCACCTTAGGGCAATACCAACTAGGCAAGCTAGGGCTCCCCTTCAAAAACATTAGGTTGGTCTCTCCCGCCACTCTCCGGGATTCCATTCCTAAGGAATCATACTTCTTGTTGCCTAGGTTGCATTAAAAATGAAAAGGCAATGGGCCGGCTGGCATATGGAGTTCAACAGACACAACACTCTTGGAAGGTTTCTGCT